TTTCTCCCTTTCAATAATAATTTTTCTTATTTATTTGATTTATGAGTTTCTAATAAACGTATTATTTAAACAATATTTTATTTATCAAGCAAGTAAATCAGCTTTTTTATTTAATAAATAATATATAAATTCCAATAAACAATACTAACTACCCTCGCTATACCCTTGGCATGTGTTTTCAATCTGCCGGCAAACGCTGAGAACTCGACCAAAAATGTGAAGAATTTGAAAATTTCTTGAATTATTTCCCTATGAAATATTATGAAATGCCCTCTGGCATATGAAATTGGCAACTGGGCGAGTATTTGGTCCAGTTTTCAGCGATTGTGGTTGTGGGATTATCAGCAGCCGAAGTTGATTCACCTTTTGACTTTGGACTCGCGCCTCGCGATTGTTTCTGTGCGCTAGCATTGGACGCAATCTCTTATTCAATGACAATATTTAATATTAATCACAATAATAATCGCATTATTTTTTTCTCTTTGTGTATTTGCAGGCCATTGAAGGCAACTAGTTGAGATCTTTGGCAAGCAATATGCAAATATGGATTCGTTGCCACCAGTGAGTCGGGATCATTTAATGCTGCAGCCGTTGCAACCGTTGCGCTCGTCTCGCGGTTCCAGCTCCAATTTGCGGGCCAGCCGTTCGCCCTCGACCACCAGAAGCAGCGAGCAAAGTAATTAGAATTATAATTATAATCATCCCAATCTTTGGCAAGCAGACACCAAAAGCTCACTCCTGTTAGTCGTGCTCTAGCCCTAATAGCTTAAGCACTTGGCCCATAATTGGTTTAATGCGACACGCTCATCAACACTGTTATCAGCTCCGGCTCGGTCTGTGAATGATAGCGAATCTCTGCAGCTTATTCACTTAGCACTTCCGTTGCTGATAATTATGTTGAGAGATTTGGTCGCTAGGCAAAAGCCAATAAACCTTTAAAGATTGACTACGCTTCATTATATTAAAAATTAGTTCACGAATAGCAAGTTCTTAGAAGAAATCGAATTAAAATAATTTAATTTAATTTAAAATTTATTTTTATAAATAGTATTTTGTAATGA